TCACCTCCCCCCCCCCCCCCCCGAAATAATATTTTAAAAGTACACGGGAGCAGGGAGTGGCTGGGCATGTATAGGGTTAATCTTGTCTGCAAAGTAATTGAGAAAAATATCCACTGGTTTCTGAGGACACTTTATTACCAGCCTGAGGTAGGAGAGCCTCCAGAGATTTAAAAGCAGTCAATAGTTCTTAAAAAAAAAAAAAAAAAGCAAGCCTTTGGTTCTGGCTGGTATTAAGTTAGAGCAATAAGTAGCAACGTAGAGTTAGAGCAATGTAGCTTTTCCGTACCAGCACTGTCTTCAGACTTAGATACACAAAGCTGCTTCTGGTCTGCAAATGAAGCTGGCTCCAAGTCTGCTCAATGTTATTCTTCCCTGTTTCTAGCCTTTCCCGTTGCACTGACTCCTGCGAGACTGTAGCGAGCTGTAGGATTCAGCAACCAGGGAACTAGGTAGGGGATGGTAATTGTAGCTAGGAGTTAATAGTTGATTCCTAATCAGCTGCTGGGGCCAGTGGAGAGATGTTACCCTACCTCCTCTGTCAGCACAGTAAATGTTGTCACACTGGTACAACTGGGAGGTACCCCAGGTGTGCCACTGCCACCGCATGGAGTGGGCGCTCTTCCTGCAGGGCTCCTCCTGGGAGAGTCCCCAACACCCCAACTCGCGTGTGAAGAGCACTGAAAGAGCTGAGACGGCATGGAGGATATTCTGCTGCCTGTGATCACTTACTTGAAAAATAAATAAGCCTGCGTAGCAGACAGATTTATTACCAGCCATGAGGGACTACGAAGCCAAGTCACTTTGATTCCTTAGAGCATTCAGAGAGTTTGTGTAAGTTCCTGGAAGCTGTCTGGGATGGTCTTTAACCATCCTCTTACTGTTACCTGATGGTGAAGGGGAAAGTTGGAAAGCACTTGTGCTGAATTTATTTTTCCCTATGTTTGGTAATAGATTTTGACAAGCTGTTTAAAGAACTGAGCCTTCTGACTTGTGCTGTGCCGAGCCATCCTTCCAACTCAGCTACGCGTAGCCTCTTCTATTCTTTCCTCCCTCTCTATGATATTTAATCAACAAAGCCCTACCTCCATTTCCCTGAGGCCAGAGTAATGCATCTTTCTGCATTTAGAAACCTCCTACGCATGTGAACATGTCCTTTGTGCAGTGATGTTGTTTTAATTAGCCACGTCTCTCTTTTTGGACAGAAATACATGAAATGACTGTACAGCTTTCCTGCAGCCAAGAGGCAGCACAGCACCCTTGGTGCCCAGCTGTGGGTGGTGGGAGAGGCTTGCTGGCTGTGCTGTGGGCTGTGGGCTAGGGCTGAAAGGGGAGAGGAGACAGACTGTGTGCCCGGAGCTGGCAGGGGAAGGGAAGCAAAGCTTAGGCAGGAGAGAGGAGGGGGGAGAAGGCAACCCTGGGTAAGCCTGGGGATAGGCAGGGAGGCAGAAGAGGCCTGCCTAAAACATGTCAGAAAGCATGGCATGAGACATCCTCTTTGTAATGACCAACATGTCATGGAAAAGAGATAATTAAATAAGATGATGTTAGGCCAAAACTATTAGGACAATAACCTGCTCAAGACCAAACTGTACAAGGCAACAGTTGAATGCTAGCATAACTATCCTTAGTTTCAGAAAGACACAAGTCTGTCCCAGGTGGTCTCCTAATCCTACATCCAAAGTACGTGTTAGATAACATGCGTATTCATCTTTTAGGCTTTGTCTCCTTAAAATTGTATCCAGTATTTTCCATCTGAGTATCAGTCCATTCAAAAAGAGCTGGCTTAGAGACCTCTGAAGTTAACAACTCTCAGAAGCTCCTGCGATGTTCAGCAAATTTCCTTTTCATTAGGGACTTACTACTCTTCATTTCGTAGCATTAGATTAGGAATTTTACTGAATATCCCTTAAATCCCTAGTCATGTAAATATTACTGATGATAAGAAACATATGCTTTTAATAAATGGTCCTTGTCAGGACTAGATCAAGCTATTGAATATATTGTATACCAATACTGGCTAAATCATTGTCCATGGCCAAGCGATGCCTACACTTGGGTTCTACAATGCCTACACTTGGGTTCTGCAATGCCTCGTCTTCAGCTTTATTACTAGCCGACACTGCATGTTATGGAGGCTACAAGTCACAGTTTGTGGCATTTCCATTTTGACCGTGTCATTGCTGTGGTCCGCAGATGAGTAAAATGTGGGCTCCCTCTCCTCTTGGTGGGAAGTGAAACGCTCTGTGAAATGCTCTCTGAACATCAAAGCAAGGCTGGCAAAGCAGAGGAGAGATCTCTGGCTTTCAGTTCTGCCATAAGGAAAATTAACATAATCCTGACCCTAACTGTCTTGTAATTTTTATTAGCTCTCTTTGGCTTGCAGCAATGACCCTGTGAATGATGCATGCTGCTGGATGGCTTTCCTAAGAAAAGAAGGCTTACGCAATCATACTGTCTGCCACTACCTGCCTTCTCCTTACCCCATAATAACTCAGAAACCAGCTGGCCAATTTCAACCAAATTTGACAGTGGAAAGAAGTCTTGAAGACACTGTGTTAAATAAACAAATAAAAAATAAAAAATAAAAAATGGGGACCATATAGGGAAGAGACCTCCTTGTAATTGCCTTTAGTGAGGAACATGAGCTCAGTTCTTACTACAGGCCTGAGGTGCCGCTCGGGTACTCAAGTCCAAGAAACACACGCATGGAAAATCAGTTCTCACTGTTTCTGCTGCTCATGCAATGACTTGTTTCTTCACAGATCACTCAGGGTGAACCCCAGAAGTCATGCTCCAAGCCTGTAGCAGAGAAAGTCACAGAGAGCTGCCAGCAAATTTGCCAGTGCAGGCCACCTCCACCGTTACCACCGCCTCCTCCACCTCCACCGCCCCCAAGGTTGCTAGTGGTGCCGAGTAAGTAGCCGCTGGTACGGTTGTGGTGTGCTGAGGGAGGGCGAAGCGACGGGGACGCCTGGATAGATGGAAGGAGAAAGGATGTGAGAGAGGGCACAGCTAGCTCGTTTGTCATTTTCCACTTAGCAAATGGAGGAAAAAATGTTCTCAGTAGAGATGGAGATCTGTTTTCTGATCAATGAATAATGCTTGGCTTTTGGAGGAAAGCCAGAGAAATTCCCTCCTTTCATTATATTATATGTGATTCCCTAGCTTTAAATGGTTCGCTAATGCCCTAGCCCTGGGAAATGCTTTCCTGCAGAGACATAGCGCAGCACATCCCCTTGAGTTACATGACCTCCTGTTTCACCAGGTGTGCAGCTTGGAGGTCTGGGTGCTCCAAGGCAAATTAATTTATAAGCAGGCAAAAATTCAAACACTCTGCCTAGACCATCCTGCAGGTTTGGCTGTCTTCAAGACACTGGAGCTTTACTGGTTCACCATAGCAGCGAGTCAGGCTCGCTGGTTTTAAAATGCTTACAACTGTAACAAAAGTCAGGGGCATGTTAGGAGTCAATGGCAAGTGAGCAGTTTTCCCACTAATGCACATACAGGCTAAGACTCATCTATTTCTCTTCATACAAATCAGTGCTCCCAAGCCTTATCCAGCCCATCCGAGCTCCTCCTAATTTCCAGCCCTGCATCCCCATGTCCTACACACCTTGTGCCTGCAGTTCCTGCTGGCTATCTCTGCCAGCTTCCTTCCACATCAGTATTCCTGTGATCCCTGACACATAGATCCTTTCTGGAGAGCGACAGCTGTGCTGGTGGTCCCCAGAGGGACAGTCCCTCCACAGTGGGATGGAGCTCGCCGGTGCTACCTGCACTGGCTGGGTGCAGGGACATGGGCTGGACCCTGCGCAGACACTTTTAGGTCCCAGGTGTTTGGTATTCCAGCAAATCTCCTTAACGCTTCTATATTTTTGCGAATTTGTCTCTCCCTAAAAGGCTGCCTATTAATTCTTCACCCTGCTTAGATAAACTCCTCTGGGAACAGTGTTGCAAAGTATATCTAGTATCCTTCTCAGTGCTTCCCCCAAGGGAAAAGAAATCATTAGGTAGCATCATTTGGCTGTTTGTCTTTATCAGCACCATCCCGAGATGTGCAGAAGACACAAAGAAGGCTTCTGCACAGCTTTTAGACAGGCAGAGGACAGGCAGTGTTTTCTCCTGTGTTTCCTGCCAGGAGCATGCTTCGTATTCGTGCCACACTGCGGAAATTTAAGGCAAAGGCAGGAAAAAACCAACAGTGAAACACTTGGGAAAGGAAGTACAAAGACAGCTTGGAAAGCAGAGATGAAAGGTTTTTATAGCAGGAAAAATCTCTTTCAATGTTCAGGAAAATGTCACGGACAGTAATATTGAAAATTCCCTTGATCTTTGTCTCAGTCAGAAAATAAAGTACTTTGCTGCTCTGTTTTCTTGTACCTGGGGTACCCCATTGCCTTGAGGGAGCTGCACTTACCCACACAAGACGTGGCAGAGCAGTGTCGGCACAGGGACCAGCCCTGCTGCTCAGCTGCGCCAGGCGGAGGGGACCGCTGCCAGGCTGCTTCCCCTCCCCGGGCTGCTGTCAGGCAGCTGGTCTGAGTATGTGGATTTGTCTCCTGTGAAGTGGGAAGGAAATCATATCAGAAAAAAAGAAGTCTGTCACACATGGCAAAAAGAGGAAAGAGAAATCAAATGGGCCTGCGACTGGGATAGCCTGGTGCTTACTCAGGCTGGATTGCCAGGTGCTAACCCAGTTCTAAAAATGAACTATATAAATCCAGATGACTAATATTTAAATAAGTTATTTCATTTCAAATGCAATAAAAAAATAGATTACACATTCCTTTCACCAGCAAGCTTTAGATTAGCAATCAAGTGCCTCATCTTGAAAGATGCTTTCATTATTATCAGCTGTCTAGGCACTGTGATTTAGCCCACATGTACAGCAATCCCCATCCTTGTGAGAATGAGCAAGCCTCGTGGTTAAATATTGATGTTATAGATGCCGCTTTTAAACAGCATTCAGAGGAGAGGGCAGTAAAGGAACACGACAAGCTATTATTAAGTGGTTGATGCTAGACTTGCACTTTGCACTTTTTAAGTGATTAAGTTAAGTACTGGAAAGACCTCTGCAAAAAAGCAGCAGCCCAGGAGCTGCAAGTTTTTTACCTTTACAAGGTACAGCGTCTGTGCCATGAGGCACTTCATAAAGATGCTGCCATTGCTGTCAGAGCTTTGTGAGCCACAAAAGGCTGCAGCCTGCTAGGCACTGTCCTTAAAAGCTCTTTTTGCAATCAAACTGAATGTTGTTGGAGGTTTAGATCATCTCTACATCCTTCTAAAACAGCTGCTCTGGTTTGGGCCTGATGATTAAAGCCAATAGATACAAAATTCCTGCCCATGCAGTTACTACAGACACTGACAGCTCAGTTATCTGCTAAATGAAGCCATCTAGTGCTCTTTGACATGTCCTGTCTGGTCTCCAGCTGCTGCTGTGGAAAAGCAGGGGACCCTCTTTGTGTCCTCTCTATCTGTCCCACCTGAATGTTTTGCGAACCCTACGTGGATGTATGGGATGGCACTGGGTAACTGTTTGTGAGCAGCTGAATCACTCACTGAAAGGTTTTTATTGTGCTTGAGGACAACTGAGGACTTTGAGGAACAATTACAGTGTATTTAGTGTCTCTTTAGACATTTCAATACTGACAGGTTGATCCAGCAACAAATCTTTAGCTCTGCTTCCTGCAGATAGATTTATACAAAATTTGTTAAATGTTGTGAATTCCAGAATTCACGTATAATAACTGGTAAATGTTGCGTTTACTCTGAGGGACAATAAGCTAATTCCCTCCACAGAAAATGAGTAGAATCACACACAACTTAGCAGTCAGTCTAAATACATGAGCGGTGGTAGAAACACCACTTTCCAGGCTTTAGGAGACACCTCGGTGTTATAGTCATGTTTTTACAGCAGGAATGTGTGGGGTGTCTTTCAATGCATCCTGAGAAGGCATATCATTCGTTCAACAATATGGATATGGGAAATTAAATTAGATCATGTGGCCCATATATTTCCAAATATGGACAACAAAATTATGGACTGGTGAATTCAGAGAATGCCTCTGCCACCAGAACTCCAGGTCCCAGGGAAGAAAACATAGACTGCTTTTGTTCTCTTTCAGCCATGACCCCAGGCCTCCTTCTCCCACGTTTTTAACTCCTTCACACAGACTGTCGGCGTTTCTGATGTCCCTTCCAAACCCTGTTCTTGCCTTCACTGCATCCGCTCTGCAGCTGTCATGGGACATTCCCTCATGGCAGCGTATCCATGTGCCTCCTCCCCGCTAAGCGGAGGACTCCTGGTCTGCCCCAGTGAATCCGTCTGCTTTACAGTATCTAAATGAAGGCTAGGATCAGCCACGCTGGTCCCTGTGGATGCTGGTTCTCTCAATACTGCTAGTTCAGCCTTATCTCCTTCTGTAAAGTGGGATACATGGAACATTTCAGTTTTGAGTTTCCTGAGCTTCATTCCAGATGCAGGTTGTTGGCGTCCCACTGAGATACTGCTGTCTTGTTTGGTATAGATGAGTACCTTACTGAGGGTCTTCAAGGAGAGGGGCTCCAGCCCATGTTAGAAGTAACTAGGATGGTGGGGACTGTGTGACAAAGTGGTGGGGACTGTCAGGAGACATGATTGCTGAGCCAGTTGCAGTTCCTCCAGACGGTCTGGCATATTGATGTTTCCGCAGTAACTCTCCTTATGCAAGCAGCAGCCTGCTCTTTAACCCATGCCTAGAAAACTGCTCGTTGACAAAGTGAAGGGAAAGCTCATGAGGCTCTGAGGGGCCTAAGGCCAACTAAGCTTAGATGCTGACAGCAAAGAAAGGAGGAACTTTCAATGAAATTGAGTGTGTTCCCTAGATGTGGCTGTAATGACCTGAAAGAGATAGAGATGCTCAGAACCTGGCCTTTAATTAACTGTTTCTTTTTCCCCCCCCCATCTGCTTTCTTCCTTGTCTCTGGATTTCAGCCAGGACTAAGGCAAGGTGGATGGAGTACTTGTTTAGGCAGCATTTCTAACCTGGCTTCACAGGCCCATGAGATTAAGCTAGTTCAAATGATGTTGACCCTTCAAAATCTAAAATACTGTTGTTGTCAACCCTCAAATACTTTGTGAGCACACAGGTTTCTCCAGGGGCATTGCAAAGAAGAAAGGACTTCATTTGGAAGCAGAAGCTAGGCTTTCAAAACAGGAAAGGGTTAAAGCTAGACATACACTGCAGTCAGTATCAGTTTTAACCTGTGTAAGGTTTGAGGAAAAAACATTTCAGAAGTGACTTCTTCAGAATGATACAAGGAAGAGAAAGGATGTTCAGCATGAACTCCTCACTTGCTGGTTAGCAACATTTGCTGTCTCTGCTCTACCCATCTCCTGCGTTGGGTGAGGAGTCCATGGTACTGCCATCCCCTCCCTGGATGATGGAAGTGTCCAGTAAAACATTGCTTCAGTCAAATTTTAGAGGAGGAAACTTAAATAAAAGTTTTTATCTGAGATCATTACAAGCTGTACTAGTACAGCTGAGTCTGGATACCTGAACCAACCTCTGACTCGTTGGATGCTTGCACATGTGTACACAGTGAGGTCTTTACAGCTCCTGACCTCAGTGGAAGTTTGCCCTGAGCTATCAGCTGAGATAAAGCACAATCCAGTCAGTGCAAAGCCAAAGTGAATGACATCACTGCAGAGGACTCTAATCTCCAGGCTGTAATTGTATGATTTTCTTTTTCAAGGTGAAATCTTTTCCTTTATCTTTGGAGATAGTACATCTAATTAACTAATTTGGGCTGATGAAAATGCCAAAATAAAAATGACCAACTGCAGGAAGGGTGCAACTTTTTGGCAACTATATTAGCACAGATGTATAGCTTAATTTCAGAAAGTGTGCAGGGTCCCTTCAGTGCAAGTAGGA